CGGCAGGGGGGGGGGGCGGGGGGGGGGGGCGTGGCGGGAGGGTGGCCCGGCTGAAGCTCCTCCTGAAGGGAACTGGACGGAGGACACAATTTGCATTCCTCTGCGGCCCTGGAAGGGGTTAAACCCGCGGAGCCTTTTGCTAGAGAGGCCGCTTCTTTGCCGCGCCGCAAGATTGTCCTGTGATTGGCACCTCCCCCCTAACCACGGGACCTTGACTGGACGTCTGATAGCACAGCCGCGCGTTATTTTGCTCCGGGGCAAACAGCCACACATCCCCCCCACATTTTCCTGCCTGTGTGACCGGGGCCTATATATGTCAGGTGCCTAGCTGGTGGCTTCGGGAGGATATCTTATAGATTGTACCTTCCTATACATCAAGATTATTGGAGAAGGTGTTGCTATTAATTCCAGCATCTGTTGAACTGAGTGATTGAACCAAGGAGCAGAATCTTCTGAATAAATTTATCTTTCTTATAAAATGTCACCCCTAAGATGTCCAACAAATTACTGTTCCGTATGTTGAAGGCATTTAGGGTATGAGGTTAAAGTTTAATTGCTGCTGCTTGTGTCATGCTTCTTTAATCTGTTCCACTTTATGATGGCAACACTGACTTGTTTAAACTGGTGAGAAAATGTTTTTTATACATTTTTGTCATCCCCCACAGCTGTTGTGCATGTGGTAGATTATAAAATTCAAAATAAATAAGTACAAACGAACACATTTAAGGCACAAACCAGACAATACTTGTAAAGTGAAGGTGTTATGCAGCTGTTTCTGTTTTTCTACATTCAGCTTGAGATATCAGGGAAGGGGGATCTGAAGAAAAAGCCAGATAAATGCCCTTTGTTTCAAACAACAATTGCAATCACACTTACTTTTCATCCTTTGCAGCTTTGTCACATTCAATATCAAATTGCCACCTTTCAAGAACTTCACTGGTTTCCTTACTGGAGATCACCACAACTAGTCGCTGAACTGAGCACTCAGCAAGCCATTCTGAGAAGAAGGAAAGGAAAAATAGTTTTCTTGAAGTCACAAGCCAGGAATTTAAGAACATTTCTACCATCTAACAATTGTTCCTTTGAATCAGCACTTCTACTGATTTTCCATATGTTGTCAGGACCTGTATTATAGCAGTAAAGGTTTCATGCCTGAGCCCATGTCCCATAAATGTGGTTATGAATAAGAAGAAACTGTTGCATCCATATCATACAAATTTTGGCCACAGTTTTCTTTCTCAAGGGAAACTATGGGCAATTTAAATATTTTAGGACACCAAGAGCCATCAAAAAAATTCCAAGGCCTGGAATTAACTTATGAAGCACCTGTTGTCCATTACTGATATACAAATTGTCTAAGTCATCGTTCAGCATACAGATTTGACATTTAAATGGCAAGCTGAATTACAGAATTTATAAATGAAATGTCATAGCTAAGGCAGGCCACTGCTTAGAGCCCACCGATTAACCATAATTTAAACCAAAGTACCTTTTAGCTGTCCTACTACATTGTTCAGATAGTTTTTAAGTTCAGAGTCTGCAGTTACAAGCATAGTCAGTCCATATTTCTGGACATGCGTAAAGGTTTCAGCTGGATAGATCCCACGTTGGTATAAGATACTATTGATGCCATATGCTGAAATAAAGAAAAATATGATGAGGAACTTGTTCACATGTTACAGTATATAAATACTAGTACTCAGTTCTATATTCCCTTTCTATTCTATTAATTGCCTGTTAGCTTTTAGGCATTATGAAAATGGTGGTTCTTAGGTTTCAGGCCCTAAACAGCTTGAGGCTGGGGTACTTGAAGGACTGCCTGTTCCTGTCTCTTACCTCACAAGGTAAAACCCTCTCTATGCTCCCCCTGCAGAAGTGTGGCAGGTGGCTACCGGACACAGGGCCTTTTCAGTGGCAGTGCCTCATCTTTGAAATTTCCTCCCCCATGAAGCTTGCCCAGCACCTTCTTTACTACCTCGAGGCTTCAGGCAAAAACACAGCTCTGTAGCCAGGCTGTCAAGTGAAGGGTTTCATCTTTTTAAATTGCTGCTTTTATGGCCTGCTTCTAATCTGAGGGCAGGTTTGTGATTCTTATTTTATGCTCCTGAATATTGTTTTTAACATTCTTAGTAGACTCTTTGTTTTATGCTCATTTTAATGTGGATGATTCTTATGGTTATTGTTTATGATTTTATTCTTGTGATCAGCAGGCCCCTGGAGAGACAGCATGTATACTTAAACAAACATGTTAGTTATTTCTAGTTACAAGTGTAGCATGATCTTACTGGAGCAAAATCTGTGGCAAACTAGTCCACAGAGTGGCTCAGGCAACAAGGGCCAGGCAGCTCTACAATCCACACCATTACAGAATTAGAAATATTCTGTAGCAACCACTTCCTTCTAAACACACCATAGTTACAGGCACGATCTGTACAGTAATGCATTAGTATTTCACTTTCGACTGATCCTTCTAAGGATAGTATATACGGCTCCACTGCCCCTGTTTTATTTTCACAACCGTGCAGTCAAACAGCTTGGTCTGAAAGTCAGTGACTGGGCCCAGGTCACCCAGTGAACTTCATGCATGAACAGTAATTTGAATCCATGCATCCACCCTGCCCATCTGCCATGCTATCTGCTACACCACACAAATAATTTATGTCAGAATCTCAATCTAGAGGCACAACAAAAATCGGCAACAGCAGGAGCCTTCTGTATCAAATATGGCAGCCACATGAATGCACCAGTAAATCAAAGGGAATAACTTATTTCTGAACATAACAGATCTCTTCAAAATGTCACAGCCTCTCTCATTTTTGACACATTGACCCACTTTGTTGCAGCTGTTTCATAAACCAGTCACTTAGAGATATGAGACATCTTACTGTACATCCCAGATATAACCCTCCCTTCCTATATAATGATTTAACCCAGGACCTAGAACTGAAAACATCTGTAGCCAAAGGAATCACACTGTTGACAGACCGTCCTTAAATGTAAAGCAATTAATTCTGTTCTATTTTATTACCTCACTCAGATAAGATCCTATAAGAGTTTGTAAAGCAAGATCCCCAGGGGGAAAAAACCTCCCAGGGCTGAGGCCTGGTTCACACAAGGAGGAAAGGAAGGCTCTCAGGGGGGGGGGGGGCCATAGCTCAGAAGTAAACCATCTGCTTTGGATGCAGGTCCCCGGTTCAACTCCTGTCATCTCAACATGATATGATCAAGCAGTAGGTGATGAGAAAGACACCAGAGACCCTAGAAAGCCATTGCCAATCAGAGTAGACAATACTGACTTTAACAGACTAGTGTCTGACTCCACATAAAGTAGCTTCATACACTCATGATAGGACCTTTGCCTTGCAGTGACAATTCCCTATGTGTATTGAGCTTTCCTCCATACTTAAAAGCTGGAATCCACCATCTGTTGCTCGAAATGGCATCATCCATCCTATACCCTCAAGCTCAACAGAGATAGTCTTTTTGAAGACCGAAACTGTTAGAGAAGCTTGACTCAGGTACACCACATGCTCCCCACCCGCAGGCAAAAATATCTGATTCCTGGAGCAGAAGAAAATGGTTCATCTAGCTCAGCACTTTTGCTTCCCGACAGGAATCCGGAAAATCAGCCTGGGGAGAAGTGTGGCTGCGCACTCTTACCCTTGAACACGTTTTGTTAGTCTTTAAGGTGTCACCGGTGGCCTCCTGTTTTATTTGGTTGCTAGCAAACAACAAGAATTATCATCACGGCTAAGCACCAGGTACCCCGGCCTCTGAACAAGCAGGGCAGGCCTCCCTTCCTGAGCCAGCAGCTCCAAACGGGGTCTCCGTGTGAGGAACCGGCGTATTAGCGACTGTGAGAGCGAAGGAGACGCCTTTGCTTCGCCGTGCTCCTTGGAACGGAATAGCTTCTCTGCGCATGCTCAGAGGCCGTTTCTCTTCTCGTTATAACGGGGCAGGGCAAGAAAAGAATCGCGCAAAGACTTGATGCTCTCGAGGCCCCCCTCGGCCGCTCGCCCCATTAAGCGCTCATTTCGGACGCCTTCCCCCTCGCTCCCACAGAGGAAATGGATTCCTATTCCGCCCCCCCCCCTTCCCCCCCTACTCACAGAAAAACTCAGCGACAATCTCGGCGCTGCCCCGCAAAGTGATCCCCTGCTCCCGGCTCTGCTGCTTCGCCATCGGGAACGAGAGAGAGAGAGAGAGAAGCCGAGCGGGGCTCCCCTTTAAAAGAAAAGAAGGCAAGTAGCCGGGGAGGGGGCACTTTTCTTGGCTCCCCGGCTCTTTTTTTCTAATTAAAAAAAAGCACACTAGAGGCGTTCCCGCCACCCGATTCAAAACCTGACTCCGCCTCCCCCACGCTCGCGTAAGATAACGTGACGCGCAACATGACGGTAGCTTCTAGAGCGCAGGCGCACAACGGGAAAGCTGCGCAAACGGTTTTCCCGTCAGTTTAGGGGCAGGCTGAGAGTTCCCCCGTTCGCCAACGTTCTCTTTATCGCGCATGCGGCTTTTTTGGGGGGGGGCGGGGTCTGTTAGTGATGGTTGTTGCGCAAACAGGTAGCGTCCGCGTTTTACTCTGTTAGTACAAAGTACTCTGAATACAAGAAAAGGGCACCGGTGCTTGCTTGTTTGTTTTATTAATCGAACAGGTTGGGGGTTAGGCAGGGGGAACCGTTCACTAGAGTTGGGCC